CTAAAGAGAAGGTTTGTTTGTTACTATATGCAGCAAGCACCTTATAGAGAGCAGAAACACTTGAGATCCTGAGGAACACCACTGCAGTAATATAATTTCTGGTTCCTTTAGAATAAAGGCACAAATGGAAAATAAAAATCTTAATTGAAAAGTTCATACTGTAAGTATGTAATTTGGAAAAGTTCATTCCTGTTTTGCTTGTCTTAAATGCCTGCTTTTCTGTTCTTACTACAAAAATCCTTCTGGTGCCTAAAAGCTGAGCTGTACTTGTTCATGTAATATCCATAGCAGTGGACCTGCCCTTACCTTGACCTGTGCAATGGTACTGCTTTCAAATTTGCGCTTGGGTGCATTTGTGGGAATAGTGCACCTTTGCAGTTAGGCATTAACAGCTGCACTTTGAGTTACTCTATATCTCTACATTCATTTAGGCCTCTGGGTGTTCTTCAAGGTTCCTGGCATTTTTTATGCCACCTGCTGAGGTTAGAGAGTTTCTGTAAGTCTCTGTCCTCTCTGGTAGTTTTGAGAGAACACCTTGACCAATCTACATTTTGGGCACTTACTTTCTCATTTCTGTTTTTGTACCTAGTACACAGATCTTTACCCATGCATCATTTGATTTTGTTTTGATTGCTTTCTGGAAAGATGGAAGGCATCTTTGCATAGACTGTTTGACTGTTTTAAAAAAGCTCTATTTTTTCTTTAGTCTACATGTGGAGTGTAGAGTTTTGAAACTGGGCATCAGGACCCTCTCTGCCCCTGGTGGGGTAACACATTACTTCCACTGACTGACAAGTTGTGTGTTCTCTGGCTGTACAGATGTACCCACCCGCCAGGTTCCCCGTTTCCCTTCTGGGTAACTCCTCTGGTCGCTGTTGAACCTTGAATGCAAGAGGCTGAAAACTCTTTAACAGCTCAGTCTTTTTCTTGAGAAGATGGGTGATGCTGATACTGCCAGCACCACCACTATCCAGAACAAACATGCACACAAGGATTGTCCAATAAGCCTCTTAACATTTCTGTTGAATCTGAGAAATCAAAGGAAGATCCCAACTCGAATTTGTTAGGTAGCATGCATTGCCTTCTCCTTATCTATCCAGCTCTAGTGCTTTGTTTTTCTGCATGGAGCACAATGACATTTGCAGGCTTTATGCTCTCAGAACTGACAACAGAACCAAAAGGACTTTCCCCTTTGCAGAAAGATTAAGAAGATTGGGTTTCCCCTCTACTGCTTAATGATCTAGCCAGGGCTGTAGCATTTATTGCATTTGCTGGCTGTGATCCTGGGTTCATTAAAACTCTTTAGTAGGCAAAGCATCTCAATGCATAGCTAACTTGATTTTTCTGAGTGATGTTCTGTCTTGAGGATGTGTCAGAATTAATTCTACTGGCTCCAGTTTGACCCGCAGAGTTCTGATTTTTGTACTCTTGTTTGCCATCAAGGATCTCCAAGTTAGCTTTTTTTGATATTTGATCTAACCATGATGTGGTCAAGATGTTTGGATCTTTACATGCTGTTTAAAAGTTATTTGGCAGACTGGCATAATCTGTCTGATGGAGGAAAGAGGGAGTTTATTTGTTAAGAAAAAAATACTTTTAAAAAGATCGTACAAAGTCTTGCCTGTAATTGTCCACAGAATACATACCAACTTCTGTGACTGAACTGTGCTTTTTGGCTTGACAGTGATGCACCCCAAGGCCTCTCTTCCAGCTCTTTGTGAACACTGCTTTCAGCTGAAGTCTGGTAGCTTGTGGTCAGCTCTGTAAAAGTGTACCTAAGTGTTATCCTAGCTGCTGACTCCTGGCCAATGTGACATGTGCCAATGACACTGCTGAAGTTTTGGAGTAATTTGAAGTGTTTCTTCCATGTTAAAGAATGATTTCAAAGTTACTCTGGAGCTTAGTCAAAGTCTGATCAAAACCGTTGCAATTATTTGCCATATTCATGCACCTTCTGCCTATGAAATTAATCTTTCTGATGGTGTTTGTGTTGTCAGGAAGGCGTCATGTGCTTGTATAGGAGTCTGATAGCACTTCTGGCCTTATCCTGGGTTTTCATCTGGGAATGGGGCAAAGGTCTGTACTGACCATAAAAATACCTTATGATGGGATTTATTTCCTTCAAAAAATGTCTGGTTTCTGGGATGTTGATTTGTCTGCTCAGAATAGTGTATGTGACAGGTTTAGGCTTGTTTTCACCTTGCAGACACTCTCCTCCAAAGGATTGTCATAGAAATCTGCTGTAATTTGTGCTTCAACTCTTTGGAATATGGCAATAATCTCCACACTGGGCAGCTGTTCAAATGGACTTCAGACTGCCTGTGTGCTCCAGAACTGAACACGTAGTGCCACCAGTAGTGATGACAGCACTAGGCTTTATTTATAGCCTCCCTTGGAAACCTTCAGTTCTAGATCTGGCAGAATTGTCCCTCTTATCAAACATGCCATTGCTATGGGTTGTATTTCTCTAATTGCTTTTCATGTGTTTTCTGAGGTCGGCCTAAAGGTGAAGGAGCACTGTGCACGTGATAAACTGTGAAAACAGAGAAGCTACTTGCCCTTCCACATGCATCTGGGCATATATGTGGATTTCTTTTTTTGGTGTGGTTTTCATCTCTTATTCTGCTGTCTCTCCTCTTATTTTGATAGTCTTTTGCATTTGTGCTTCACTAGTTGGAAGGAAATTAAGAAATAAAACAGGGTGTGTGTGCATGTTGTCTGGGTGGCACTTGAGTAAAGATCTCTGATGTAATTGAAGGTTTCCATGAGCAGTTGAATGTGCATACAGACAAAACCCTGTGAAGATACTGTAAGTCTGGAAGAGATGACAGCTCTTGGTTCTCTACAGCTCATGTGGATCTGCAACACTACAGGGAAGGAAAATTAGTGGAGCCCTGTCATGCATTAAAATAGAACGTTATTTACAGCATTGATTTACATGCCTTATGCTTTAGAAAGCTAAATTCTTGTCTTTCATCAGAAATAACTGAGTTGGAGAAATGCCAACTATTATGAATTTGTCAGGAACACCACCACTATTTTGATTTCACTTTTTAGAAGCTTTTCTGAAAAAGGAACGAGCTTCTGAAGATACACAGTTACGTTTGCCTGCACAAATTCCTCATAGTTCAGGAGATAAAAATGGACTTAGTTGTAAGATTATTCTTCGAGGACTCTAGGACTTCTCCAACAAGTATTTCTTTTTCTTATGTTTAATATTTGCAAGATTTAGTTTTATATTTCTGAGTTCTTTGAGTTTCTTGTTACCTTTCTTTATTATAATTACCAAGTTAAAATTACCAAATATTGCAAAAAGCCCCAAAGACAATCCACTCCAACAAGAGAAACCCCATCAACATCATAGCAATGGGTTTTTCTGTAATTCCTTAATTGTTAGACCATGCTCAAGGGTTTATGGCCTTACCTGATTGTAGTCTAAGTTACTTCAGGTGACTTTCAGTGTTTTGAAGTGAGGGTCATAGAATGAAAAGAGTTTGGATTTCTGTTGTAGCTATAGTCTGTGCAAATACTGAATATCATGTTCCTTGCACTGTGATAGTCCATTACCATATCATAAAAAAAGTTAAATGACCAGCAAAATATTACAATGACTGTGCATAACAATGGAATTATTTTCTTGCAGGATTTGTATAGCTTTCATTAGATGTGTGTTTCAGTTCAGATTTTGTATTGTTGACTGGTGTGGATGACAGAAGGCTTTAGAAATTAAAGTGCTTGTGCGTCAGTCATATGCAACTTCATTCAGCTGGGAATACTGCCTGTGCTAAACCTCCCTAAAGGAGAAAAGGGGGATATTGGGGGAAATGCTGTTGTGATCAAGTAGGTAGTTAGGGCTTTAGTGGGCAAGTGGTTGGTAGGTAACTTAAGGCTTTTTGTTTGATTGGTTTGGAGAATACTGTCTTACAATTAAATATATTATTAACCCAGAAAATTACCATAGTAAGATACTGTCCTCAAACTGTGCAATATTGTTTTCTTTCCTTCTAGGACTTCATGTTTTTCCCACATTTGTAATATATGAACTCACAGTCTTGCTATTCCTTACATTGTCTGTCGTCATAATGAAGGTATTTTCTTCTACACTTTAAAAAAATACTTTAATATTCAATAATCTAAGTAATCTTTGTGCTGCATGCCCTGAAGAAAATTCTATGCAAGAACTGAATATTTGATATAACAGAGAATATTACTGTCAATATGTATTTGGAAGAATCTTACTGATTAGAATATAGTTTGATACAATATTCTTCAGATATTTAAAAAGAAAATTATTTAATGTTAAAAGTAAGTTGCACGTGGCAAAGCATTTGTTTCTCTAGCTTGGGATTTGTGACAGTTATCAAGTGTTTTATTATAGTAAAGAAGATGCTAGTTTTTTACTGTGCAATGTACATTTGTCTCTTTTGACATTAATACAGAAGACACACTTGGAAGTCCATTATTTTATGTTATGTCCAGAATTATTCTATTTGATGCTATATCTCTTACAGAGATAGTACTATTTTATTTATTGCACTTTATTTAAACAAACAAAACAAACCCACAATAACTCAAAAATCCCTGTTTTTAAAGTTTGTCTTGGCAGTGCTTGTCCTTTCTTTGATTCTTCCAAAGACCAGCCAATATATCAAGTGGATTGTCTCAGCAGGACTGGCACAAGTCAGTGAATTCTCTTTTGTTCTGGGAAGTAGAGCACGCAGAGCAGGGATCATATCTCGGGAGGTAAGCTGTTCAGTGGTTACTAACTTCATTTTTTGCACCTGAATAACTTATACTGTAATACAGAATCCCAGTATTTGAAATACTAATACACTAAATTTTGTGACACCTCTCAACTGTAAAAGAGTAGAATCAACCCATAGAAATGGAAACTTGTATGTCCCTGATACGGTTCTTAGTGCTGGTTTTTACTTGTTTCATATTGTACTTTAATATTTTAAATAGCTTTATAAATGCTTTACCTTAACTTCTCTCACAACTTAATTATGTGAATTGCAGATAGCACCCAAATCACAAAGACTGAGAAATGCTTGCTTTTAAAATCTTGATACAGCTATTGAAAGAGGTATGGGAGTGTGCAATACAGAGAGGATATAGAATTTGAAGAAGGAAATACCAGAAAATAAGAACTAGAGAGCAGATACTGTGAGAATTGCCTTAACATTTAAGCAAGCAAATAAACTTGTAATCACTTTAACCTGTAAAGCTTCTTCATTTTAAATCCTCCACAGAAGAAACAGCCAATGTTTTCTGTAGTTATGAAAAAAGTCCCCCGGAAAGAAGCCTTAAACTTAGTTTTATACTGAACCTGTGAGAGTGTTAGTTTTTCTTTTTTGGAAGGTGAAGTCCAATTTATGAAATTAAGTAAATTATGATTATAGAGATACAGCAATTGACCTCACTTTCTAGTACTAGCTGCTTTATCCTCTGTGCTTCTACACACAAAAAATGGTCTCCTGGTGCTCTGAGGTTTTCATTACTTGAGCAAGTGGACTGCATAGTGTTGGAACCAATTCCAAATAAAGTACATGTGAAAAACTTACACAATGCTGTTCGCTTGTAGGTAAAGGTGATTCACTTTCACCTTCACTCCTTCATATAATTAAGAGTTACAAATATTGCATGTTTACATAGAGTTTCAAGATACGTGATCACAGAACCAGTTTAGGGGCCCACCCACTGAGCTTGGAGGCTGTTAGGCTTTCATTCTTTTCTGTTCTCACATGATTATCTACTGTATAGGTTTCTGTACCTCTGAAATTTCCTAAACTCATTCCTCTGCTTGAGACCTCAAAATTACTTCCTGCCACTGTTTTCTAGTATTTATTCAGACTATGTAGTTAGGATCTTTTTTTTTTTTCAGAAGATGTACAATATGACTTAAAGGGATTTTTTTTTGCTTTTTTCTGTTGATAAGTGAACTAGCAGTGAACTTTGCCATTATAGTTAGATAGTTAGAAGGGTGGTGGGGTTTTTTTAAATTTGTTTAATTGGTTGGGGGTCTTTTTGGTTTGGTATGTTCGTTTGGGGATTTTCATTTTGTATTTTAAATAAAGTAAAAATAATTGGCCTTTGATTTTTTTAACAAATACTGTCAAAATTGATCACTTCACATAAAAACAACTGTTCTTCTTTAACATCATAATGATGTTTTTGCAATTGTATCTTCACAGCAGGTAAACAGGTAATTAGATGATTTGAGCATGCACTTTTTTTGCTTTTGTAGCAATACGCAAAATTGCTTAGGAAGACAGGTGAAGCCTCTTGAAAACATGGTCTAGAAGTGTTTAATCTCCTCAAACTTCTAGATACTTCTTTGTACTACCATGTAACCAAGAGAAGTAATGGCTTTTATTTGCCTTTTACAGGTCTATCTTCTTATACTGAGTGTGACTACTCTAAGCCTTTTACTTGCCCCTGCCCTGTGGAGAGCTGCAATTATGAAATGTGTTCCGAGACCTGAAAGACGCTCAAGTACTTGATCAAGATTTGCACAAATAGAAGAATATGTCCTCTTTCTAGGAAAACATCTTCATTGCTCATTGTATTTCTATGCACTAAGAAAACAAGACCTGTTGAGTAGACACTTGGTTATAAGCCTTATACTGACCTTAAAACAAAACAAAATTCAATACTAAATAATAATTGCATCATTTGAATTGCACACCTTTTACAAAATTTACTTTGACAGATAGGAATCTACTAGGATATTTGTTTCTGATCCAATCTGTTACTCAGAACATAAATTATTTTTTTAAAATACAGCATCATGCAAACTGTTGATTATTTTTGTTGCCTGAATGTGCCTTTTAATTTTCATCCTGTTAATGCTGGTTCATCACCAGATTTTGTTCAGAAAGGAAAAAAAAATATATATATATTATGGTGCCTATGGTATCTTCTTTCACTAAATGACTTGAGTCATTTTCACATTTAGGATTTTAATATAGCAGTATAAAATTAATTACAAAACAAGTTTCTAGTGGTGAATAAAAGAGTGATCTTCTACACAAAGAAAAGGTTAAACAGTTCAGTGTCAGTTCCAAGCAGTTACATTTTCCAAATCATGCAGCCAGTACTGCATGATGTTTTATTCCAAATTGCAGCATATAATGTATTTTCTTATAGTGGTATATTTTGTGCTAGCTCTTGTATTTATTTACATATTTGACTAAAAATTGACAGTAAAAAAGGGCATAACTTATGTTAGCAGACTGACAATTGTTATCCATCCTTGTTGCTAACTGCTGCTACAGTAATGGTTTTCAGGGGTGTTTTCTTTTAAATCAAAAAGAAATGTAGTGAAACTGGGAAGTGTAATTTCAATTAGATGTGAAAAATAGCACTTCTGTAAACTTGGAGGTTGGATCTTAGTTGACACTATTCTAGACTTGAAATTATTTTGAGTAAATTAACTTGCAGGAAACTGGAAACGGCAGACTGGATGTGTATTTGCAACCCCATGACCTTTTAAGTTACATTTACATTGAATAAATTGTTAGTCTTTTTAAAATACCGTGATATTTTAGAAAAGAATGTTTTGAATGTGATCTTAATGTGGTTTTTCTTTAATATGTTGTATGTAGTGAGATAGGTTGTGTAAAAGCCCATTCTTTAAGTGTCATAGAGAAAGCTTACTGTAGTAAGCTGTAGTCTACTCTGTGACAAAGCATTTAAGAATCATCTTGAGGTTTATCTGCTAAAACCAGTACTATTTAAGATACGTTAACACTTCAGGTCAGTATTGCAGTGTCATCTGAAATAACATTGATACCCACAAAAATGGTTAGAAAAATGCATGTTATCAGGTTTAAACTGCCAATTAAAATGAAAATTGTCCTCCTAGTAGCAAAACAAAGCTTTGGATGGATTTTTTGCTCTATACCTCTTTCTCCCATAGCATCCTCAGTTTCTTCTGTGTTTTCTCTGTCATCTGCTGGGCTTGTCCAAATGAAACTTGGATTAGTCTAGAGTGTGTATGTACTGATGGGACAGGGTAGAAATCACCATATTTGAGTTCTTCCTCACTGGATTCAGGGCTTTCCCTCCAGGCACTAAGGCTTCATACAGGTTGGAGGAATGTACGGCAATTCCAACTCTCCTCAAATAGTTTCAAAAGTTGTTTCAGAACAGACAAATGCAGAGCAAAAAGCTGCCCTATAAATAAAATATTTTTTAATAAAATTAATCTATAACAGAAAAGAAACTCAAAACTGATTTGTTGGTGTATTTCAATATTTTTATTCAAAACAGAGGAGCAGCTCAAGTTTTATAATAAGTTCCACATACAGTCTACTAGGTCAGACCTTTTACTCTTTTCAAGGTACCTCATCGAAATAGTTTGTTTCTTAACTGTTCTATCCACTATACCACTGGCCTAGCTCATGGTTTTTGCATTAAATACAAGCATCTCTCCTGAATGCTTCATTTTGGTTTGAAAGATACTTACTTCACATGTAGTTTGCCACCTATTTCACGGGGGAAAATGTATGACAGGTCATGGTAGAGACCCCTCTGTATGGTTTCCATTATGTCACTTAGCCCTTGAAGCAATTATATAATTGTACTGCACCTGTGATGAGTAAAACTTAGCTAAGTCAATTGCTGTGGGTAGTTGTAGTTCTCTAGAAAACTCTTTAAAAATTAGGAAGGAGACCATGAAATACTCATGACTTGTGTCTCCTGAAAGAAAGAAAATATTTTCCTGAATCTCTTTTAAAAGATGTGGGTGAAAAGCTCTTTGGTACCATGTTCAAAAAAGGAAAGCGAGCATCTAGATACCTTATTGGTTGCCTCATCTCTCTCAGTTCTCTCCCAAATAAATTTTGTTACTGTTTAGGAATTGTATTCCCCAATTTAGCTTTCTCACCAAAACCATACTGTGAGTTGTTTGCCCTCTCCCCCCAATTGGAAGCACAAAAGGCAAAGATTGTGGGTTGAGATAAGCACCACTTACTGGAAACAGCAATGAGATAAGAAAACAAACAGTAACAGCAACAATATTAATAACAAAAGTGTACAAAGAGGACCCCTAGACAACAACAGTTCCCTACTCTGACACAGACAAAGGGACCACCTTTCTTCCTGGAAGTAAGAGAAGGAGCCCCTTTTCCCTGCCTCTGGCAATAAGGTAGGATGGTATAGAATAATGAGGTACACACATGCCCACATCACTCCAGGTTCCACCTCCTCATGCCTACTGTGAAAAAAGCTCTGTCCTGGCCAAAACCAGGACAACTTGGCTAGGCTTTAGGAGAACTGGGGGAATAGAAATAGCCTCGTGTGAGTGCCAGTGTTCTGTGCCTCTGCTGACACAGACTTGGATTGCCTGGTTCAATATTAGTAATCTTAACAGACATGTGGTAAATTTGTTTACAGTCAGACATTTGAGATTGCCTCATAGAAATCTGGAGGTATATTGAGATACTGGAAACGTTTCCTGCAATGCAAATAATGGCTCCGTGCATAATTCTACATCCAAATGGGGTAGGTCTCATGATAGGATCTTAGGACAGAAACAACAGAACTTATTCCTGAATGATCACTCATTCCTGTATGGAAAATGGGGAGAATATTGCATAACCAGCCCACTTAGATATAATTGCAGCTTTTTGGAAACCTTATGCTTGTACCATGGAATATTCTCTTTCTATGTCAAGCAGATAAAATTAAAGCAGAGTTCCAGAAGCCCTGAAAGGAAAAGCTGCTGATTTGTTGAAGGTTCCTTAAAAAACAAAAGGTCTTTTTCTGGAAATTCTTGTTCCAGCTTGTTGGACAGTGGTTCTATCTCATTCATTAACTAATGATCAGCATCATTTGAATACAGAAAAGCTGACAGAGAGCAGAAACCTCATTAAGTGATGAGAGGATATTCCTGTGGTTAAGCTGAACCTAAGGGAGTGAAAAAGAAGGTCTGCTCTGTGCTTGACTTGCAGCTCATTCAGCTAACCTATTTTGGGATTGATTTTTTTTTTTTTTTGGGGGGGGTTGGTTGATTTATTTCGTAGGTGGATTTAGCTGTGCTTTTTTGGCATGCCTTTCTGAAAATTTGAGTTCTTGTGTGTTACCCCTTAATTGCTATCCTTGATAGTTCAGATAAAAGGAACCGAAGATAAAGGAACTGAAGTAGTTTAAAAGCTGATGGTGTGGCCCTGGGGTCAGATTGGTATATATGGATCCACAACCACCCTACTTGTGGCTTATCCCGTACAGAGCGGGTGGCTTCAGTTTGTCAGTAGGAAAGTATTTGTGGGAGCTGTGAGGTGGTTTTCTGAAATTGTGACTGAGAATGTGGTGATGGTGAACTAAGTCCATGGGACTTCATAGCCTTTTAAAAGCTGTAAGAATTTCTACTTCCTATAATTCTCAAATATGAGGAAAAGCATCCTCACAAAGCCTTGTGCTTGGTTTATGATTGGACATCCTTAGCTTTGCAGGCAGAAAGATGTGGGGGTGCCTTGAATGATAGACTATTGCTGCACGATGATGCTTGATGGAAGGGGTGAGAAATCTAGTGTGGTCTTGCCTGTTGGAACAAACCCAGGAACAATCTAACCGCAAAAGCACTCCTGGGGTTAGTCTAGGGAAGGAATCCATAGTTCTGCTCTGTAACCAGTCCTGGCAGTGTTCCAGCATGTGGGCAGTGCCAAAGGTGGAGGAAAGGGATCCCCTGAATGACAAGAGGCAAGCCACACTAACAGCGTTATTATTTTGTGGGAAATGAAATATCTTGTAAGGAGCAGCAAAGTGTCAGACATACAGTGTTGATAACCTGGCGACAGGGAGCCAACACAACTACTGCAGGGAGAAGGAAGAACAGCAAGATGTCCTTAGGGCTTGGAGAGTGTAGCCCACTCAGCCCCTAAAGGCAGAAGGGAAAGGCATGCTTCTACCAATTCCACTCAGTAGCCCGGGAGATTTGCTCCTTGCATTCTCCCACCGCCTCTGTTGAGTAATTACCAACAGAGCTGGACTTATTGCCGCTTTAAGGAAGTGGGACTAGGAAAACCTTCTGCTTGCTGGAGACAACAAACTGGACAAGGGTGTGACAAGAGTGACTTAGGGATAACTGATCCTGCCTTGTGGGACAAGACCTAGATCAGAGAGTAGCAACATTTTCGAAGTTATGGTACCAAACTGTATGTTTTGTTTCCTAAAATGGAGTAGAAATTTGAGAATTGGGAGACGGTACTTCCCAGCGAGGCCAGATGCTGACAAGGTGGTCAGCTTGCCTGGCTCCCTGTTCACATGTATTTCCTCTGGCATCTGTTGACGCTTTCTGCCTATAGACCAGGTGACCTCTTGAGGCAATTTCCTCGCATCTGCCATGCAGTCCTGCCGCGCTGGTGCTGTTTATAGTTAAGATCCGCTCTGCTTTTCGTGCACCCTTAAAAGGGAGAAGCACTCCCCAGAAAACTGTGAAGTGGAATAGCCTTCCACCACTAAGAACACAAACAAAACCCTAAAGATCCAATATACCTGAAAAAGGTGTGCTTAGAGATTAGAGGAGTGTTGAAGTTTTTTTTCACTGGTGCAAATACTTCAAATTAGTTGTGAACAACCCTCGGCTAAAGAAAAAAAACACTACCCAGGAGTTGGGCGTGTTTGAGCAACTAGTATGTATCAAAATAAATTCTAGCGAACTAGGACACTCCTTCTTGTTTGTGCTTGTTCTGTTGACTCGCAAAGTGTTTTTCCTACAAGAATTAATGTAAAACAAAGGAGCGGGATGTGGGTGGGTAGGGACGTGAGATACATAGACGGTTTGAACCCTCAGGCACAGTATATATGACCTGGAGGGTGGAGAGCAGCACTATCAACTGGAGATGTCTTTCAGGAAGCATTTTTTCCTGCAGCTGGCTCATAGGCTTTGTGTGTGAACATTTTTGCAGCTTTCTGAAAAGTTACAAAATTACAAACACATTTTCATTATCACCTTTCTTCGATGTCCACTGCGGTCAAGCTTAATCAAGAGGAATGAAGAAATGGAGAAATAATACTAGAGCAGCACGTGGGGGACTATTGTTAATTAAAAACGCCGAAGATTGCTATTTATCAGCAAAATGAACGTGGTGTTTCATTATTACTGTAAAGCACAACAATTCGATGTCTTAAGAAAAAAATAATAGACGTGTAAAGTGAATGCGAATCTCGTCGACTCGTGAAATGCATTCTTCAGCATTCTCTCTGCTGGATTTGTCTGCTGCTGCAATGTAGTGGCTTTGTGGTCGTGTGTTCTATTCCCAGCTAGTTTTCTTTCCCAGGAAGCAGCGTGCTTTTAGCGAAAGAACGAGACTTACTGCTTCCCTCTTCATTGCGTTATGAGCAACCTAGTACCGCGCAGACTTGGTCTTGCGTACAGAACTGTGTACAGCTTCCTCCCCATCAAACAGCCTTGCATCCACCCCTACGAGCAACACGACTCTTGAGCTTTCCTTGCTTTCCTGCAGTTTCCGCTATAACTGCTCTGCCTTTGTAGCCCCCCAGCAACGCTGCAGGTTTTGGTTGGTTTTTTCCCCAAAACTTACAGGACAATGATGTAATTACATCAACACAACCCTCGCTAACATGCTCTGTTCCTGCGGTCGTCATTGCACGCAGAGGCTGCACAGCCCCGAGGTGCTTTAGTTTTGGGCGCAAATTTAAGAGCTGCAACCGCCCGAAGGAAAACTTTCGCTTGGATTACCACAAAATCCCTAATTTTAGCAACGATCGCTGCAAGCGAAACTTTGCTCGAGTAACGGCCGGACAGAACGCGATGAGGAAGCACCGGCAGCAGGATGTTGTGGCAACGAAACCACACAGCCCTGCCCCGCCGGGTCCGGGTCCCGCTCCGCGCCGGCAGCGCGGCCGCGCCCGCGGGCACCGCTCGGCACCGCGGGGCGGGCGGGGAGTCGGAAGAAGGCGCGAAAATCCCGCGCATGCTCCATCCCCGGCTCCCTCCGCGCCTTGGAGCGGCGGGCGGGCGGGTTGGCTTGGCCGCTCCGCGTGTGCCCGTGCGAGGCGCGCCGCGCCCGTGACGTCAGCGCGCAGCGTCAGGGGGACGCACAAAAGTGTAAGTTTCAATTTTTTTTTTTTTTTTTATAATTTTATTTTTTTAAAAAGAGAAAAAGAAGAGACAGGGAAAGAGTGCGCGGGATCGCACGCGCAGGGTCCGTGGGAGGAGGGGGATCGCTGCGCTGGCTCGTCCCCGCTCGTATACCCGCATCGCCCCCGTTCCCGCGGGCAGCCCCTCGGCGGCAGCGGCGCTGGGCAGGTGTGCGGGGCCGCGGCGTGCGGGGGCGGCCGGCCGGCCGAGAGAGAGCCCGGCGGGCTGGCGGCCGGCGGGGGCAGAGGCGCGCTGGGAAGTGACAGCCCGCCAGGGGAGACCCTGTTCCCCCGCCACCTCTTCTCCCTGCACCCCCTCCCCCGGAGCGCGGAGGGGGGGGGAAAGGCGGTCCCTGCCGGTGCCCTCTCCTCCCTCCTTGCTTCCCTCCCCTGTTCCCGGGCTGCCGATGTCGGTGTCCCGCCGCCTCCCCCCGCCCCTGCCCCCTCCCGCCAGGCCCGCGCAGCCGCCGCACATGTGCAGTCGGGCGCCTCCGCAGCGGCAGCAGCAGAAGCGGCGGCAGCAGCGCGGCGGCGGCGGGCGGGGGGTGCTCCCGCTCCGCGCTCCGGGTCCCTGTCTCGGGGCGGCGGCGGGGGATGGAGCCGGCTCTCTCTGCCTTCGGCCGCTCAGGTGCGGGCAGCCCGCGCCCGAGGATGGGAGCACCGGGGGCTGCGTGGGACGGCGGCGGGGGGCGCCGCCGGCGGCGGGTCGAGCACGATGGGGATGGGGACGGCGCGGACCCGCACTCCGCCCGCCGCCCCTTCCCCCCGCGGCCGCCGGCGGTGCCGCCGGGCGCGTCCCCCCTTGCCCGCGCCCCCGCCGCCGCCGCCGAGGCGATTAGCGCGGCCCCTCGCTGCCGGGGGGAGGCGGCGCGGGGCTCAGGGCTCTGCCCGGGCGGTGAGGCCCCGGTCGGGGGGCGCGGGCGGGCGCGGGGTGCCCGAGGCGCTGGGGCGGCCGCCGGTCTGTGCCGCCCGGTGCGGCCGCGGCCCGTCCGCCTGCGAGGAGGAGGAGAAAAGCGGGGCTGGAAGGCGCCGGGGGGAGCTGCCCCTGGGGCCTACTTGTGCCTGCTGCTGGAAATGGGGGTGGGGAGGAGGAGGAGGCCGTGATCGCTGCCCGCGCCCTGCGCTCGGTGCTGGAAGGGGCGCAGCTGGACAGGGACCGGCCTCGCGTGGGATCGGGCACGGGCTGGGGGAAGGGCTCTCTCTGCCGGGGCACAGCTCACCCCCGCCCAAGGGAAAGGAGTGCCCCCCACACGTGTGCGTGGGGCTCGAGGGACGAAAAGGTGGTGATGGGAAACTTTTCCCTCTTTAAAAACGTGTTTTTTTTCAAAAAGAAACCTAAATTGTACTTGGTAGTAGTCAATAATTTCAATGGTAAAAACTTTCCCTCCTTTCATTTTTTTATAGCTGGTGCTGTCTTTGCTTTCTGCTTTCCAGAAAATAACATTGTCCCTGTGTCCTGCAGCCATCAAGATTTTAAGACGACTGGTTTTTAGTCTTTGGTAACATGGCAAAAGATGTAAGTATATTTGTAGCACATAAAACGTGGGAGCATAGAATGTTTTTATTAACAAAAGCAAATGGGGTCATGCTTTATGGTAGCTGGCATTAATGAATATATGAAACTTTATCTATACTGTGCATCAAGCCTAGGCTGTTTTCCTGTAGGCAGCGTAACCAGCGTCAGGTCTGCTGCCATTTTTTCAGAGTGATTAATCTTGAGAATTCCCTATGCTAATAACAGCACTTGGGCCGTTGTCATTATGTGCATTCATATTGAACACTAAAACAGCTTGGGTTTGGATTGGATTGAAAAAAACCCAGCAAGTGTTGTTTAGTTGGTGGGGCTGTTGTTGACTACTGTTGTCAACTAACATTGCCTTTCTTGAGTTCAAGAAGGCATCAGACATTTGAGGGAACATCGTTCATTCTCCATATGTGTTCATTGTTTATCTCTGTCTACCAAAAGATGCTCGTTAGTGTCTGTAAAAACAGGCTTTGGGAACTCTCACCATAGATTTCCATTACTGCTGTTGTTAAGGTTTGCATCATTGATTCTGTGACCTGCCTCATGAAGCACGTTTGCTCTTCCCCCCTTTTTTTCCCTTATTTAAAAAAATTCAATTTATTCTGCCTTTAAGATGTCAGTCATTGTTCATACCTAATATAATGGGGCTTTCATGTTTTCTTATTGAAAATGAGACAATATGCTAGTCTGTATTCAAATTAGAATACACCTCCCCTTCAAAAAACCCCCAAACCCCAAAAAACAACAGTATGCAAGCTAAAGAAAAGTGTTACAACTCACTGCTTAAACAGCAGGTTGCAACCTAATGTGGAATGTTGCGCCTTTCAAATAGCAGGAATTTCCATGAAAGAGTGATTGGTTTAAAAAAATTAATCTCGTATGTAATTTTCAGTAGTTCAACTGAAAAACATCTTAATGCGTGGAGAAGCAACCAGACATACGTAGTCACTCAAAGCTTGCCTGGAAGAGATAAGGGTGGCCAAGTACATTACAGATAGCAGAGTTCAGGGAATGATAGGCCATACATATAGGCGGGAAGAAAACGAAAGTGGAGTGCTAGACTAGCTGAAATTGAAACAGTTCAAAGTAATTGAGATACCAAAGTACATTTGTATGATACTAGCTTTTGGGAGAGAGATCAACTAAGAGAAGAGTTGCTGGCACCTGGAAATACAGATGAATGTCCTGCTAGCTCTAAGTAAGAATAAGACATTCAAGAACAAACCTTATTTTTGAAAGATCTAGTTTATTCTAGCAGAGTAGATAAGAAAGAAAGGAAGGAATAAGTTACCTCATAGTAAACTTAAGAAATGAGAGAAGGTGCTACAGATAAGCAAAGAAATTGCTTTCAGTATTTTTATTAAAGAAGTAATAAACTGAATTTGGAAAAATTAAAATCTGGGTCAGGTTTTAGGTAAAATTTTAAGTGTACTTGAGCACTGGAACTGGCTAGCTAGAAAGGGTATGAAAACCGAATATTGTCTAACCTGTTCTTAAAATCATCTCCATATACTTCAAACTTGCCTCAGGGAAGAAATATGAACTGCTTACCTTTTTGTACCCACCATTACACGACACCTAAAATGCGTAGTGAGGTTGGGAAATGTTAAATTTCTAGGTCTGAATATGGGCCCTATGAATTGTGGTTTAATGCTATAACATAGAGATGTTAATTGGTATAACACTTCAATTTTCAGAAGGAAAGAGATTTATTTCCATATTTTTGTTCCAAGTCCCAAGTTCTTTTTCAAGAAGAATAATGGAATTCGGCATGATACAGACAGTATCACTGCATTTCTGGGTACTGAGTCTCTGAGAACCTGCGTTGCTGTAAATTTAAACATGCTGATGTAAAAATATTACTCTGATTAATGGCCTGTGGTTCTGCCATGTCACCCATCAAGTGCTCTAACTGTCTGTGAGATGTAGTGGTGAAGAAGATGGCATAGCTTATGATTGCTCCTGCCCCTTCCTTCCCTTTTTCTCAGCAGAGCTGAGATGGCTAAACTGTGGGAAGGGCTGTGCTGCTACAGTCCTAAGTCCGGGCTTCAGGTGGCATTTCCATGGCCAGGCATGTCCGGAGTGCTCCAGCCTGGGAGTGCAGGCGTGCTGTGCATCCCCCTGGGGTCCTGTGCTGCTGGGGCCAGTGTGCAGAGGTGACAGTGGAGCAGGGAGCCCTGCAGAAGGGGAAGGTGTGGAGCCGCTGCACCACAACAGAACATGCTCCTACTTTATGCTTCTTCCTGCCTGCTGCAGGACAGCACTTTTCCTTCTATTGGTCCCCTTCCAGTTCTTCTGATGCCTCTTTATAAAAACTATAATTTGATAAGACCTGCCAGAAAAGTCAAATACTTGTAAGGGTTTGCAGACTGAGACTTTACTGGATAATTGAACAAATGGGGGAGTGTGATGGAAAGTACTGCAAACACAGTGAAATGTTTTTATAAAGTATTAAAGAATTGCTAAGTTAGTGATGAGGTAAGCTAGCAAAATAATGTTTATGAACTATATGGTCCAGGTCTAAATTCTGTGAAGTATTACTTTAAGATGTATCTCTCTAATGCTTTTCAGAGTATACAGCCAAGAGAAAATAAGCAGGCAAGCATTGATTTTAATTTTTTTTTTCATTTATATTTTGCCATTTTATGCAAAATACTTTGATTTCCTCAGCAGTAGTCAGGAAGCTATGAGGTGGGAGGAAAAAGATACATTCATACCTAGCACCTTAATTAAGAGCCTGCAGGTCGAGTTTAAGTGCATAATCACAATATTCTAGCTGGATAGCTTGAAAAACAATAATGTAAAAAGAAGTACTAGCTTGTAAAGGTTAAAGTATGCATGGGTATATCAATTCGTGTTTTGGGTAGGGGATCTGAGTGCAGTAAAGATAAAGGGCGAAAAAGAGAAGCACTCATTTTCCAGTGTGATCCGGTAATAGCAGTAAGCACAGCATTTTTGAGTTTATGAGCACCGTGTGAAACTGAGAAGCAATTCTAACAGAATCAGGCAGATATGGTATATCACATTCAGTTCAGGACATCTTGGTTCCTAGAAAGACTTTACTTTTTGTGAAGTTTAAAGAAACTGGAAAAATCCGTGTGGACAGAACGGCAATGGCCATATCTCAAGGACTTGTGGGATCCCACTTGAGAGTGGGATCGTTGCATTGGTTTTCAGAGTCGGGATGACAAGTTGAGGTCAGTAGTTTTGGTACAGTTTTACACCTACATTTGCACTGTGTGGGAAATTTCTTGGTCATTGCATGTGGGCAGTCTACAGAAACTTCATCTTAGCCAGAATTCCTGTTTCTGGTTAATCAGTGTCGCTCTGAGTTTGCCTTGTCTCCTGTGAACTCTTCCACTACTTACAAATGTGGCATCTTCCAGGCAGGAGCTAAAGGAGCCACATGTACAGCCAAGGTCCTCAGTCTACTTGTTCTGCTGACTGGATTCATGGGAGTAATAGCAGGGGGGAAAAGCAGTTCCCTGTGTGCAGTGGTCACCTGTCCACCCTTGGCGTGCCTAAAACTAGGCAGGATGTAGCACTGAATGAAGTAGAAGGAATTACTGTATCAAGAAAGCAAATTTCATAGATTAATTTTTTTTTCCAGCTTCCAGTGTAAGACTGGGCAGTGCCTGCTGGCCACTTGTTGAGAATTACCTGTAATTTTTAGCATTGGTTAATGGACCTTCCACCACTAAATTACCAGCTTCTGTAGCATGGCTGAAGATCCAACTTGTGGTGACCATGTTTCTCCCCTCAGTTGCTTCTGTCACTGCTGAGCTGTTGAGGCCTCTCAAGGAGCCATGAGGAAGGAGAAGCTTGTGGATCTTTTCTCCAAGGCTCAGCGTTATGTAGGAGAGAAGAAGCAGGAGCAGTGGAGTTTATTTTCTGCTGAATTTCTGTACTCTTAATACAACCACTTGCAGGAACTGGATCTGTTATGGAGGATAGTCTAATGCATGGTGTTACAGTGAATATTGAAGAGAAAGGGGCTAGACAAAAGGAATGGGTATGGTTCTTTCTGATCTCCAAAATTACACTTAGCAGAATAGATGAGTCATGTAAATGAAATATTCTTATCCAGTCCTGTTCTTTATGATTGTTTCTGTTTTTCACCATTAGTGGATGGACTGCTTCAAGCCGTTTAAAAAATAAATTGTGCATAGAGAACTTGAAGTTGAAAAAAAAAAATGTCAAAAGCTTTTTAAACTGACACACCACTGTTAGCCTTCAGAGTTTCTCACAGACTAAAATACCTTTCTTGAGAGTTCTTGAGTTACTGTTTCATAGGTAACTGACAGTGGTGTTGACTTTGGAACTGCTTGTTCTAAAATTAGATTTTTAAATTTATTTTTTAAAACTATGTTCTACTGTCAATTTTTGCTTGAATTATTTTATGAAATATTTTTCTCTTGATCCCCAGTTTGCATGAAAATTACTGTGTCTCTTTAGTTTTTTATGGTACTTTGATGAATCTTACTAACAGATATGGCACATATATGTCCAGTTTTGCAAAGGAAGCCCCATGAACATGTGGAAATATGAGGACACACTATAAAAAGTGTAAAAAGTTCATCACCTGATCTAACGTGACTGTTTAAGAGATGTACAGATGCGGGAATTTACTGGTGGTTTGTTTTAGTTGAGTATTCAGAATGCATTCAGGTATGTGGCTTAATCTAGTAGATTTATTTTACAATATTAGTAATTTTTTTATTTTGCACAAAGAATATTTTAAAAACCCACAACAAACTGATTTTTTCGCACAGTTTTACTGGATAGGTTTGTTTGGTTTTTTTTTTTACTGGATACTGTTTTTGTGGAAAATCAAAATCTCTGCTTTTGTATTAATTTTTTTTCCCAGAACACTACAAAAGTTGTACTTTTTAATAACTTCCATATGATGTTTCTACATCGATGTTGAGTGAGTGTAAAAAAATTTAATTTGGGCTAGATTAAAAGCAAGAACCCAATGGAAGTCGGAAAAA